CAACTACAATTTCAACTTCAAATTCAAATGTAGAGTTAGGTGATTTTAGCAAATATTATGATGATAGTGATGATGAAAATGAAGTTGATTTGTATTTATCAACAAAAATACAAAAAGATGATAACTTTAATATTTTAGAATGGTGGAAAGACTATCAACATGTTTATTCAAGACTTTCAAGGCTTGCTGTCTATTATCTTTCAATTCCATGTTCCAGTGCACCTGCAGCTGGACTTACAGTTAATGAGCTTCGTTCAAACTTAAATCCACAAACAATTGATAGTATTCTTGCATTAAGAAGCTCATTATGGTAAATTTTTCTTTCTTGCAATTAACAATTGCAGTAAAAGTTACTTTTTAAATAAAATCGTGTTACAACCATCAGGAAATTTCCCGCCGCAATATTACGTCCATAAATTTTAATATGTAAAGTTGTAATATTTGCATAAAAAATTATGTAATATTTACACTCGATGTAATAATTGCATAATTTTTGTATGCTTATTTGCATAATATTACGGGCCCACCGTAAACTTACGTAAATAGTGTGATTACGTTGTTAATAAAAAACGGGATGAGTTCGGGTTGAAATTTTTATAATTTTTTGTGTACAAGTCGGGTTTGAGTTGAGATTTTTATAATTTTTTATGTACAAGTTGGGTTCGGGTTGGGTAATCATTCAATTATGATGACCCATGCAGGCCTCTAATGTGTACCATTCATCCGCTGTGGCAAGGTTTGACTATATTGTGGAATTAACTACATGCTGTATATGATTGAAGATATTTAATACTACTATTAATTATTTTGAATTGATAATACAGTGTGTAACAAAACTTTTTGGAATTTTTTATTTGTCCATAGCTCAAAAGTTACCGCATAAAAATGAATGAAAAATATGTCAAAATAAAGCTTAAAATCTGAAGTTTTTATTGATATAAAGTTAATAGTTTATTCTCTCGCCATTGTTCTCAATTATCATCTCACATCTCCTTCTCATTGAGCTGACAAGGTTGATTAGAATATTATTTGGGATTTTATCCCATTCTTCTGTCATGTACTGTTCTAATTCTGAAAGATTTTGAGGCATACGCATTTCTACATTTCTTTTGACAATAGCCCAAAGACTTTTGATTGGATTTAAGTCTGGACTATTGGAAGGCCAGTCCATAACTTTGGGAAAATTTTCATTGAGGAATGTCTGACAAACCCTGCTTGTGTGCTTTGGATCATTAACATGTTGGAAGCGCCAATTGCTTCCAAGCAATCTATTAATTTCCTGTTTATGCCTTTGCAAAATATCAACATAAAAATTTGCATTCATGATTCCCCTGAAGCAAAAAGAGAGCTTTTTCCTTGCATACAAAAACCTCCCCATGCAAAGATTTTAGTGCAATCTTTGGGGATTCTTTGTACTGGCCTTTCGCCTCTGTACCATTGAGTTATTGTGTTTCTGAACAACTGAAAGGCAGTTTCATCAGAAAATAAAGTGGTCTCCCAGTTGTCATCAAGATGTCTTGTTGCCCAACCAACACGAGCTTCTTTATGGGCAACAGTAAGCATAGGTGTCTTTAAAGGCAAATTATTTTTGTAGCCTAAACTTGCCAAATGTCTTGAAATAGTCATATGAGACACTTTGGTGATATTGTTTGATAATTTGTTTGACAAAGTCCTTGTGGAAAGTCTTGGATCATGGCGCAAGTGTTGGCCGATCGCTCTTGATTCATGCACAGTAATTTTTTTGGGACAACCACCTCCAGATTTTCTCGAATTAACACCTTTTTCATTCAATTTTTTAAGGTTATAATAGACAGTAGACATTGTAATGCCAGTTCTGGAATGTATTTCTTTTGCAGAAGTTATTCCATTCTACCACAATTGTAATATACTTTTTCTTTGAGTATCTTTATCAGAAGATGACATTACGTTAACAATTTTACAACAAAATCAAACCAAAACAAATGATCTAATCATGTATTAATTTAGTTTAGTACATATTTTTCACGTGTTCAAAATATGACACGAATAGTTTTTATTTTCAGAATGTTATTAATGTTTGAAATGCATGAAAAATTTTCCAAAAAGTTTTGTTACACCCTGTAAATATCAATTTCAACATTAATGTTATTCTTATTATGCTGTAAATTATTATATTAATAAATTCTAATCAAATAGACACTACCCCATTTTCACCATACCAGTGTTCAAGTATAATTATCCCAGGTCCGGTCCTAAATTGGTTGTTAGATTGAGTACAGTACATTTTGTGCAGTGAGTCATTTTTAACCATTTTTGGTAATGATAATTGTACTTACATTCCTTTTTTGGGGTTGGGTGTGTGAGGCCTATAATTGTACTTATTATTATTGTATTCAACCTAAGCATATTGTACTTACTGTACTCAATCTAATTCTACTGCATGAAGTGTACTGTACTCGACCTGTATATACCTGTCCTAAATTCCCTGGTTGATAAATATGATCTGTGAATTAAAAACAATGTCAAACATAATTTGCAACACCCAGAAGATATTGAAAGTTCTAACACCTCTAAAAAATTTAAAACGGACTATCCTTTTTTGAATTCATACATCTATCATAATGAAATCAATCAAACCTTTCGAATGCTCCAAGTCATGATGTTGGTAATGTCAGCAATACAACAATTTCGCCAATGATAGGTGGTTTAGAAGATTGGATGCTGTGAGCATTGATGGGTTGCAAAAACTTAACAATATTGTAAAAGAAAATTTGCTTTGTCAAATTTTCTGAAAGTTGATGCTTGCGTAATGTGATGATTACACAAACTCATTGCAACCTATAAAAATATACTATTGGGGATCAAACAAAACCAGCGCATATGTATTCATATTTTCAATTAATTAAGTTGTCAAATCTTACATGATAGGGTTGTCAATGTTTTAAACGTGAAAATGGTACATTTCCACAAAACAATGGAAATTTTACTTGACGTAGACCATTACAAAATTTAATATTATGCATTGAATAAATTAAAAATAATTCGTAAAGTAGCAACAGTAGTAGTAATAAAAAAACCTACACATTACAATCTAAAGCATGTACGCTGAACCATGTTCTAAATAGATATAATATTTTTGTTTAAACACATATACATTAATGTTGGTTTCCAAAACTATAAAGTTTCGAAAGTCAAAAGGTTTCTGAAACTAGTTTTGACATAGAACTTTTAATTTTTTTAGTTTTGAATTTCGTCTCTTCAAAGTAATTTTGGCGACCAACACTAATATAGAAAATTTTTTATTTATTTAAATACAAATTCTTCGAATAACCATCCTCACATACTATTGATTTTTTATCATTTGAAGATTTTATTATTACTGGAATAACACTTAATTCTGGTTCTTGAATCTTTGTAATCTAATTCGAAAAAACTTGCGCGAATAAAATAAATCCACGTGATTTTTTTTGAGATTTTTAAATTTTTTTGATGATCTTTTTAAAAAATTTAATTTTTAAATATTTTCAATATGTTGTATCAAGACGAAGATGACATAGATTTAGTTTCTGATGTTGAAGCTGCTTTAAATAATAATGTTTATATTGGAGTTGATGATGAGTTAGATGGTGAAGGTATATAACATATATTTTTTATTAGTCAATTTTATACTATATATGTGTACCTAAGGCTTTTTTTAAAAATCAATTTAGTATTACAAGATCAAATTGCAATGCAAATAATGATGCAAAGTCAATATGAAGAGATACCTGATATTGTAAAGAACTTCATTGTATACTTTCATAGAAACATTTTAGAAAATAATGTTCATGAATTGCATAGTATATATGAAAATACTTTTAATCAATTGACAGAAGAATTTTATCCTGAAACTTTTTGGCCTGATGCAGAGTTAATTGCACCTTTAGTGAATGATGGTAAATTAATTATTAATCAAATTCTTTATTTGATTTTTAAAATAATAACATTATTATTATTATTTAATTTCTTTGATCATATTCTCATTAGATCAATTATTTTTAACATTGTATCGTGAATTATATTATCGCCATATTTATTCAAAACTTACACCAACTATTGAGCACAGATTTCATTCTTATGAAAATTATTGTGATCTTTTCAATTATATATTAAGTAAGTGATCATTAATTGGTAATTATTTTGATTGTCTTAAATAAAAAAAAGATCTTTGATAAATAATCATATTAAATACTGTGTGTATATAGATTCTGATGGACCAGTTAATTTGGAATTACCAAACCAATGGTTGTGGGATATTATTGATGAGTTCATCTATCAATTCCAAACATTCTGTAATTATCGTAATCGTCTTAAAAATAAGACTGAGGAAGAAATTGCTTTGTTAAGGGATAATGTCCAGGTATATATATTATATTCTGCAAATATGCTTATTATGTAGAAAGTAAAGATAAAAAAGAGTATTTATAATTAATCTGGACATTTTATATTGGTTGAATTATAACAGGCTTGGAGTTGTTATAGTGTTTTAAATGTATTATATTCTTTAATTACAAAATCAAAAATTACAGAACAACTACTTGTAAGCAAAAATGGTGGTGATATGATGTGGGTATCTTGAAAATATTATTTATATATATAATATTTTGGAAAAAAATATGTTAAGGAAAAAAAATTTTTATATAGTGAAGTTGCAGGGGAATATGGATCACGTACATTATACAAGATGTTGGGTTATTTCAGTATTATTGGGCTTTTGAGAGTTCATTGCTTATTAGGTGATTATACATTAGCATTGAAAATGATGGATAATATTGAACTCAATAAAAAAGTAAATATTTTTTATTAAAAATTTTTTTGTTTATTTTTCATAAAGAAATAATACCAAAATAATTACAATAAATAAATCTATTATCATATAGGCACTTTTTGCACGTGTTACTGCTTGTCATGTGACAGTTTTCTATTATGTTGGATTTTCTTACATGATGATGAGAAGATATGCAGATGCCATAAGGGTATTTTCGCATATTCTTTTATTTATTACAAGAACAAAAATGTACCATACTAGATATTATCAATTTGATCAGGTAACAACAATAATAATGTTTATCTTTATTTAATTTAATGGAATTAAAACATATTATTAAAAAAATTTATTACAGATCAACAAAAAAAGTGATCAAATGTATGCTTTATTGGCTATATGTGTCACACTATGTCCAACAAGATTAGATGAAAATATCCAACCTTATTTAAAAGAAAAATATGGAGAACATTTGTCAAAAATGCAACGTGGGTTAGTATTAAACCAACTTGCTTACTTGCCATAAATACACAAATACATGCATGTAAATTTTATTAATCATTTAAATGGTTATATTATCTTATAGTGAAGAAGGTATTCAAACATTTGAAGATTTATTTTTATATGCTTGTCCAAAGTTTATTTCACCAAATGGTCCAAATTTTGATGATCCAAATGTATTGAATCAACTTATTGTATGTGTTTATAATCACCATTATAATTATAATTAGTAATAATGTGAATAATATAATGGCTTAATATTAAAAAGGCTAAACCTTATTTATTTGAAAAACTAATAATTTAAAATTTTTTTAAAGGAACCTCATCGTCATCATGCAAAAATTTTTATCAATGATGCTCGGCACCATATATTAATTCCAACATTAAGATCTTATTTGAAATTATATACAACTATGAGTATTGATAAGCTGGCAACCTTTTTAGAAACAGATCCTGAAAAATTAAGGTGAGCAAAAATAAAAGGTCACTTCTTTTTAAGTTACAATTTAATTGCAAAAGAATAAAAATAAATAATTATTATTGTTATTAGATCACAATTGCTTGTTGTTAAACAAAAATCACGTCAACAAAAATGGACTAGTGGAACATTACTTGAAGGAGAATATGCTACCACTTCTGATCTTGACTTTTGTTTAAAACAGGTAAGTTCATTATATTAATTAGTAATCTTAATTTATATAAATGTGCATTTGCTCTCATTAATAATTTTTTGACAAATAAGGATATGATTCATATTGCTGAATCAAAAATTGGTAGACGATTTGGAGATTTTTTCCTGCGTCATACAAATAAATTTCAGGTAATTAATTAATTTTATTATTTTTTTCAGAAAAAACGATAATGGTAAAACAGTTGTAATATTTATTTTATATTTTATATATAGGATATTCTTGCTGGAATGGGAAATCGATAATAATAAAGACAAATCAAAATTTTATTTTTAAAATTAAAAAGATGATTATAATTCTAATAATAATATTTATTTACAATTTTTTAATTCTTAAATAAATTTAATTTCACATAAATTAACCAATCAAAAGGAATTTCGCACCCATATTTAATTATAGGTTTCAATTTTTCATATAACGGGATCAAAAGACCAATTGAATATGTTTTTGGATTAATCATAAATTACAGAGCCCAAAATTAACACAATTGTACTACCACCAAATGGGAGGTCCAATATTATATGTTACAAACATACAAGAGTGGGGTCCAACATCATGTGCACAAATTACTTTTTGAGATTAGTTTTAGGTTGACAATTGGCAATTTTTGTGACATTTGCTCCAAATTATACTGAAACTCAATATATATTAGTAGTATTATTATTAAATAAATTATTGGGATGTTAGTGAGATCCGGACACAATCTCACAATACGGGACAATCCCAAATCCCATTTGTATGGCTTTGAGACTAGGGTCATGCATAACAAAAATTCATTTTATACCCATCCCAAAAAATGATCATCTACTAATTATTCTTATGCTTCGTTCATAGCTTATCAATTATCAATTATCATTTCAGTATCAAATGTCATCTTTTTTAATACAAAAACCAAAAACCAAAATTAGAGTTCCTCCCCCTCCTCATCCTCACTGCTTCAACATCATTATATTAATGCTCAGGTGCTTTGCCTTTTGTAAATGTTGATTGATTTGGTTTGTTCTTGCAGATGGTTCACAGATACACTTGATTTTGAAACGTCACATATTTTTGTTGAAATTTTTTCATTAATTTCCATGCCCCCTTTACTTCTAACAGGTGTGGGTGAAATTAATATTGATGTGATGAATTATCATTATTGATTTCTTCCAATTTTTGCTTCTTGTATGTGGAGTTGAATTTTTTATTCTTGCTTGGAAACAACCATTCAACTTCATTACAAATTATTTGTACAAAGTTTTCTCCTTGCCCAGTGGCTGTGGAAATAGCTGGCCTTTTTTTGTGGCCTCTGCAAGGAGCAAAAGCCTAGTGTTAGATTTGTCATAGATACAAGGGCCACAAGCTCTTAAAATAATTATAATTGTTATCAGCAGTTATTGCTTTGGTGCAGAAATACAAATAAAGGTGCTATTAGAAAATTGTATACACAGGTTCTTCTCTAATAATCTTCACATCCAGGCTCACTGCGTGTATTACAGTTACTTACAACATTAGTTTAAGTGAATTTTACATATTTTTATAGTGAATATGAAAACAAATTTACCTACAATGAGCATTTTATTTATTTATGCTATTTTTGGATCCATTAGTTGATTTTAACAAATTCATTTTCTCTATATGATGAGTTATTGATTTGTCACAGGACCCTGAAATACCACAATCAGCCAAATCATGTAAAAATCTGTAACAATTTGATCTTTCTACTAATTAACATATCAGATGAGGTTCTAATCATCTTATTCAAGGATCATTAACCCACCACTCCAAATTTTATCAAGTAAAATGAGTAAGTTAAAAGTGCTCTTCACAATAAGAATGCTCCTGTTCTCAATGATAATAACTTTTAAAGTCTTTACTATCCAATTAATTTATACTTTAGATAAAAAAATTTATTTTAAAAAAATTAAATCGTAAATCACTTCTAAATCAAATAAATAAATATCAAATAATGATTATAGTCCAGGTGCTGCAGAAGAAATTTTTGACAAGTCTTGATCAGGATGTGCATCTGCATAAGATTTCATTCGAGCTTCTAATTCAGGACGGAAATGCCTAATTAATCCTTGAACAGGCCAAGCTGCAGCATCTCCTAAAGCTTTAGTGAACATGAAATCAATAAATTGTATAATTCTCTTTTTTGGTTTTAAATTGAATTAATTCATTTACTCATAAACATACCACAAATCGTATGTCCTTCAATTTGTTTTGATAATTCTTCCATCATATCAATCTCTCTAGGCACTGCATAACCTTTCTCAAAACGTTTCATCATACTCATAAGCCAAGTTGTACCCTCTCTGCATGGAGTACATTGACCACAACTTTCATGCTTATAGAATGCAGATAAACGAGAAATTGCATGAACAATATCTGTAGACTTATCCATCACAATTACAGCAGCTGTACCTAATCCAGATTGAACATCACGTAATGCATCAAAGTCCATCCTAAAACATCATTAATATCATCACTATTATTATCCATTTAAAATATCAAGAAAAAAATTTTTTTACAATAATAATAACTTTAATAACTTACAATACATCATCACAAATATGCTTTGGTATCACAGGCACTGATGAACCACCTGGTATAATACCTAAAAGATTATCCCAACCACCACGAACACCACCACAATGACGCTCAATAAGATCTTTAAGTGGTATACTCATTTCCTCTACAATAAACAAAAATTGTACAAGTATTAAAACTTATGACATAAAACATAATGAGTAATAGTTACTTGGCTATAATTACCTTCAACAGTACATGGATTGTTTACATGACCAGAAATACAATATAATTTTGTCCCAGAATTTTTTTCCCTGCCAAAACTAGCAAACCATGAACCACCTCTATAACAAGAAAAAAAAATAAAAAATAAATAATATTTTTATTACATTGATATTTTACTAAAAAAAAAGATTCATTACCCTACCGTCTACAAATAGTAGGTGCTACTGCCACAGTTTCTACATTTGAAACAGTTGTTGGACATCCAAATAAACCAACATCAGCAGGAAAAGGAGGTTTTAATCTTGGTTTGCCTTGTTTTCCCTCAATTGATTCAATCAATGCAGTCTCCTCCCCACATATGTAAGCACCAGCTCCACGGTGAATATATACATCAAAATCATAACCTGACTGACATGCATTCTTACCAATAAGCCCAGCTAAAAAATTTTTTATTAAATTCATTAATAATAATAAAATATATGTTTATTCCCTAAAAAAAAAAAAAATCTGTTTAAATTAATAACTATAATAATTATTATTTACCATTGTAAGCTTCATTTATTGCCTCTTGCAAATTAGATGCTTCATTATAAAATTCACCTCTGATATAAATATATGCTGATAATCAATTCATGATAAATTAGTAATCTTAAAATTGTTAAATAAACAAAAAAAAATTTTTTCAACCTACCAGCAGAAGCATTCATAGCTCTACCAGCTATCAAGCAACCCTCAATAAGTTTATGAGGATCTCCACGCATTATCTCACGATCTTTGCAAGTACCTGGTTCACCTTCATCAGCATTTACAACTAAATATTTAGGCCTTATCAAAATAAATAAAAAATTATTAATAATATTATATGATTCATAAAATAATCATTTAATAATTACCTGCCATCTGATGGCTTGTTCATAAAACTCCATTTTAGACCTGTTGGAAAGCCTGCACCCCCACGGCCTCTTAACCCAGAAGTTTTTGTCTCTTGTATAATCCATTCATGGCCTTTTAAAAGTATTTCTTTAGTTTTATACCAGTCACCACGTTTCAATGCTCCTTTTAATCGGTAATCATGTTTTAGATATAAATTTGTAAAAATTCGATCAGTATCTTTGAGATCCCCATAGGTGCGACCAATTGGTGGTGTATTTTGAACTGTGGCAAAGTTTCTAGATAATAATAAATTTTTAAAAACCGAGGATGAGGTTGTTGTTGAACTGTAGCCAACTAAAAAAAATTGAAACAATTAGACAAATATTTATTTATTTTTTTAATTTATAGTAAGTAAAACTCACTTTGGTTTGCTATTAGTCTTTTCGTAAACATTATTGATGGTATACAACAAAAGTGAACATTACCATAGTCACCATGTGACAAAATCGATTGTTATCTTTTTTTATGTGACATTTTAATTAGACCGTGATAGCCGTTCACAAACAAGTACAGTTGACTCTGGCTATATCGAACCTGGCTATACCGAACTCTGGATACAGTCTACTCTCTCTATAACGACCACTAAGTAAAATTTCTCTATAACGAACTTCCCTTTTGTCCCCGTTTCAATTTTTTATAATTAATTTCTCTCTCTATATAACAACCAAAAGCAGAGAAATTACATATAGGGACAGAGGGTTCGTTATAGAGAGAGTGAACTGTATTATTATTTATTATATTTATTATTTACGAGCTATTAAAAGAATGGTGATTATTCGTCATTCTAGTTATATATAAGTAACTTTATTTTTCATTTACTTAGTATTGCCGATGAAGATTTCAAAAGATATTTTAATACAATTAGAAGAAAGAATTCCAAGCTTTTTTGGAGACTTAATAGAATCATTGGAATATTTGATGAAAAATATATAAAATAAATTTATAAAATTTGATCTTTATGATGATAATGATGACGAAGATGGATCTATTAATATAAATAGAAACCCTACAACAGAGGCGATTTAAATAGAATATATATATATATATATACATACACTACTTTCCATACATTCATACGCATATTTCAAATATGTATATTTTTTGTAGAATATACCTACCTATACCAACAACTTCTTTCATTTTACAAATGGATGTTTCAACCCCACAATCATCAGAAACTGAAACCTATTTGAATGTATTGAGATCACATAATCTAAATACGACTCCTAAAGTACCCTCATTACTTAATGAATCCACTCACACATCTGGTGGTGTATAAACACCTGGTGATAACAATCTTAAACAACACTCCAAATTAATTTCGATTTTCGATTTTGGGATTCAAGAAATCGAAATCGAAATCGAAATAAACCTATTTTGCCATTATATATGCTTTTTATAAAACAAAATAGTGTTTAATGAATAATTATTCGATTAATTACATTTTTATAGAGATAATTAATCCCTTATAAAAAATTTATATAATTAATATGTGAAATTAATTTTAATTGGCTAATTTCAAATACAAATTTGCTGCGTTAATCTAACCAATCTATATTACTCAATTGCGTCTCTCTTTAAATGAGCATGCTGATGTTTGCATTTATTTTACGAGGAACCCGTCAGAAGGAACAAAATCTGCATTTATTCTGCCGACATTACCAGACAATGTCAAGAAGAAATACCCGTCGAGTCGAAGTGGAGCAAGAATTCAATATTATTGATTTGTTGGATAGAATGAAAGTTTTATGGGAGGAGCCAAAAAATAATAAACAAATGTTTGTGAATGTTCAATTTTAATTAATTTATATATATTATATTATATTTATATTAAATATTTTAATATTATATTGCGAAATAGCCCGATAATGACAAAACCCCAGATAATTGAAAAAATGATTAATGAAATTGTAAATCATCATTTGAAGTTAAAACGTCAGAATTGGTTAGATGTTGAATTATCAGATCCAAAAATGAAATTTCAGGTAAAAAATAAAATTTAAATAATCCTGATTTATATTACATGTTTTATTCATAATATTAAATTTATTCTACATACATATGTGTGTGTTTCAACAGATTCTTAAAGATTGTTCATTGGCAACTAAAAAAAGAGTTCCTAATCTTGAATTGAATAACATAAGAACAACTAAAGATGTACTAGACTTTTTTGTTAAAAAAGAACAACCAGATCCAAGAACTATTCATCCAGTTGCAGACTGGTTTATGAATCAAGATAAATTACCTCCAAATATTAATTTTGTTCCTTATTTCAAACAATTGGGTGAAAAAAGATTTGATCGTGTTAAACTTCAAAAAAAAATAAAAGGTTGAAATTTAAAAGGCAAGACAAAATTTTTTTTTTCATTTTCAATATAAGAGATTTACCAAACCATCTATTTGATTGTTTAATCACCTTATTGTGTGTATATGTGATCTTCTAGCATATTGATATTTTTTTTAATTCCAGGTTTAATAAAGATTTTGTTTTCAATGTCAATATTATGTTACGTTCCATATGTTACGTACTTTATAATTACAACTCTCTATAGAGAACATTTTCATTGATAAAATAGGAAAAAATTATAGATTATGTTCATACAAATTATATTTACAAATTAAATAGATGCTGGCTAGCAGCAAGTATCTAAAAAGTTAGGTTGAAAATATTTTTACAAATAGATAGATACTGACTAGCAGTAAGTATCCAAAACATTAGATTGAATAGATTGAAACTTTATCTTAAAATCTTTGGAATTCAAATAGCATTTGAAAAATAAAAAATTTAAATGCGTAAAAGAATTATAAAATGAATTATCTTCTGAATCATAGTTTAGGTGCAGTTAGCCTAGTTTATTACAAAGATTTTTTGTCATCAACCAACAGTAAGAGTACTTAGAAATCTTGTAAAAATATACATCAACAAATTAGTACTCAACAAGTGGAGTATCATATAATGAACGACCAGCTATTTTGTTTAGATATTTTGTTTAGACTCTCTGACTAGGAGAGATCCTCATCGGATCCTTTGACGTTAAGAGTATTGTTGAAGTTTTTCGAATCTCAACATAATTGATGGCTGGTGTAAGGTGGTGGGGTAGTAAAGTAGAAGAATGAGAAGCCGAGAGCAATCAGCAATAGAAATAGCAGTTGCTGAATGAGGATCCAAGGCTTGATAGTGTGGTTGATATTCTATGGGATCATGCAAGCCTAGTCTCTTAGAAACACCATTACACAAGTCTGTGAGAAACGATATTAATTAATCATTCCAAAATGTACATTCCCATCATCTCTTTGAGCATGGCCTTTATATATACAAGAATTAACTCCTGTACCAGCCGATTCGATTAGCATAACTGTCAGGATAAATGAATTTGACTTCGGACATTGAGAGCATGAAGATTGGGGAGAGCAAGAGATGTGATGGTTAAGTGCAAAACCCATCAAGTTTTGAAAGACGTTGATGATGACGATGATGGTTGTTAGAGTGTCCATTTAGCCAAACTGCATTTGTATAAATATTTAAATTTGCATTCGGAAATGTTATTTTAGAATTTTATTTAAAATACAAAACATTTAACATTGAAATTGAATTTCTGAAACTCTTATCACACCATCCGGGTATGCTAAAAGCCCATACCTCCCCTTTTTAGTATCTTTCTACCCAATCAAAATAAAAGATCTGAGCTTTAGTGTACCCCCCTCCAGTCGTATACAAATAACATACTAATAATATAAATATCCAACCAGGCTACCCGGCTCACCGCAGGTGACCCAGGCTCACATAACCCAGATCGATCTAAATAATGATGATGCAACCCATATATGTGAATCAGGTAATGCTGAATTAATATGGTGGTGTAATTAATATGCCGCTGTATGTTGAAATGAATTACACCGCCATAATGCCGAAATGTGCGTTAAAAAAAGAAAAAAAAATTTATTCAATAAAATATTGACAGCCGTTTAAAAAAAAAAAATTGAAAAATGAACGAATTGTTGAAATTGACGAAAATTACAGATCGGCTAATATGAAATCGTCAATTCGGCGTTAAGGCATATTATAGTGGTGTAATTTATTTTGGGCAACTACACCCATGTATAGATGCAATCAGTGATAATAAACCTGATCCAATAGAAATATCAAGGCTAATTAATTGTAGACCCTATTCACAAACTACTTACGGCCACTATTCTTTGAAAAACATCCTGGGTGTATTGGCTGGGGATTTAGAAAGAACAATGCAAACGAATAATAATATTTGAAAGAATGTATTTAAAAAAAAAAAGATACAAAAAAGGTTTCTTTTTAATTAATTAAAACATCCTATGACAATTTCATTTGCACGAGACACGTAATAATTACACAAATTACATAGATTTTATTATTTAATAATTGAATTCGGAATATTTTTTTGCAATTAAATTATATAATTAGAGAAATTGGTAGTTAATAGTAGTTAGGAAATCCACACTTAAGAATCATTTGATGAATACCCGGTGGAAGTTTTCCATACTACTTCTGCTGTTTATTTTGTATCTTCACAGGCATAGCTTGTTTTATTGATTGTGAAAATGATACAACCATAATTTCTTTGCAGGAAGGGATCCTTCTTATTCGAAGGATTTAAAAGAGTCCTCAACCAATTGTGGAATGGAGTTGAGCACATCACAGTTAAATGGATGTTGAAAGGGATATATGATAGTAAGAAATTCAACCTTCTTCAAAAGCAAGCTGAAGAGAAATTTTGTGATAAAATTGGATATCAATAAATAATGCTGGTTATATTAATAATCTGTGATCATAAAATTATTTTGAGAAAAAAAGTGCTATTATTGTTTCATCTACTTGTTATTTAAAACTATTATTATTATTATTTATTATTTATTATTAATTAAAAAAGTATTATAAGAAAAAAATTTAATTACACTCATCTAATCCATTAATCCATTCATGTAAATAAACCAAAATTTATTTAATCTTGTTCTTTAATATTTTATTAATAGCAAGTTTAATAATGTTGGCTGATTTTTCAATTTCTTTTTTTGTGAAAATAGTAGAAATACAAATTCTAATACTTGGTTCTACATTAAATAATTCTTGATTCTTAACATATTTAGATCTTGTTAATAATACACCATTGTTCATTGCCTCATTAACTATATCCTGTAATAATTTTTCTTTTTCTTGATGATTGCTACTATTATTGTTTTTATTATTGCCATCACCATTATTTTTACGAAAATTATGAATAATACCACCACCACCACCATTGTTATTAATAATATTATCACAATAATAACTGTCTTCACCATTACCAATTTTTATAACATCTTCATTAATTCTCAAATGTAGTACTGGTGAATCTTTTGATCCTTCAATATTGATATAT